GACGAGTAAAAAGCATGGACTCGGGAGGAGCTGTGGCGCTGTTGAAACAGGACACTTGGGGAAACACTTCTGGACACTTTTGGAAGCCTTTTCTTGTTTATCTAACTCCCTCTCTCGCTCTCTCGCTCTCTCGCTTTTGCTGTCGCAGGGTTTCGCACATGCCAGCATTACATGAAAAGTTCAGCTGCAGCGATGCGCACCTGCCCTGGCAGGGCTGCGACATGCTGTGACATGGTGACCGCAGCGTGACTCTAGGATGTCCAGCAAGAGAAGAAGGCTGACAGCAATGAGGTCAAGGCGGCCATGTACTGGTGTATGTGCGACGAGTAATGTCTGTGTCTACCAGTCTCCGACTTGTGGGATGCAGCTTTCGTACTTGTGAAGGAGCTCAAGGTCGAGATCAAAAAGAAGACTTCGCAGGCCATCTGCCGTCTGCGATGCTTTAAACTGTGAGACACGACGCACTCACAATTACCATCATCAGACACTCTCTGCAAATGGCTTCCATCTCACCGAGCGTTGGGATTCTGATGGGCGGTGCGCCGGTGCTCAGGTGAATGCCATGCGGAGGCGGTTTCGAGTTCTGGTAGTGATTGCTTGGTCGCCCTGAGCTTGTACAGCTTCAATGCACCGGATCCAATTTGCAGGACATGGCAAGAGATGCAGGGCTCGGGCAAACGAAGCAGCACTAGCGCTGCAGCAGAAGAGGCAGCTCAGTGAATGAATGGGCTCCCGGTGCTGGAAGTTCTGCACGCGCGTACCCATAAGACGGTTCATGTACGCCCACACAGATGCAAACACAACTCGCAAGTCGCAACTTGGAACTTGGAACTTGCAACTCGCAACTGACTCCTGACACGTCACACCTCACATTCAGTCTCTCACTTCCAGAACTTATCCAACACCGCACACGCTAATTCACTAACACGCGTTGTGCAGGAGAGGCAGAAAGAAGTGGCCAAGCGCTTTGCCCATGTGATGGACTCGGAAGGGAGGGCGGGCATTTTCAGATTGCGCTCCTGGGGCTAACGTGCCCAAAAACATGCCGAGGTACTCTCTTTCCTCAGGTGGGATGTGCTGAAGTTGCCTAACAGGGGGTGGCAGCCTGGAAAAGCAGTCATTGTTTGCCTTGCAGCAACCCCTTGCAGGGCTGCAAAGGCAGCGGAGCTTGCCAAAGAGGTCGTGTGCACTTTGTGTTCCTATTTGTTTTCCTTTCCGGGCTGCCTTCGGGGTTGAGGCAGAGAATGCCGGCCTCGTTACAGAAAGCGGCGATGCTGAAGTGGTGGGGAGAAGTGCATCAAAGTTTCTCCTGTCGATTCGCAAGGACAAGATGGCCCAACCCTGATGTTTGCCAGGTTTGCAAGTTTTTTTTGCTTCACCGTGGCATGGTTAATGCATGGCCGCGGCATGGCCAGCAAGGCTGCGCAGCTGTCAGAGAACATAAAGGCGCAAGGCGATGACCGCATCGACCAAGACAGTGCGCAGCTGAGAGCTTCCACATGACCTCCAGGTGGTGGTGAAGTGCACCTTGCAAGACGACCCTCGGTGAGTCGCACCTGGGCCTGCGATGTTGGGGATTGGCAGCTTTCCGATTAGTCCCACATGACCTGTATTGCATGTGGCACCACTAAACTTTCTTCCGGCCCATGCAGAAGAGTTCAGGAAACCGCATACTTGTGTATGCTGGAGGCAACTCGTTGATACCTTCGCCGATGGTGTCGCCGTCTATGGTGCCATCAGCCTCTCCATCACCAGTTCCATCACCCGACGGAGGAGGCTCGGAAGGCGAGGGAAGGCGAGGGAAGGCGAGGATGCGCTGGGCGTGTCGCCAATTTATGCCAATCCACGCCAATCTATCCCTTGTACGTGCCTTTAGAAGTGTATGGTACTGCTGTTGTCCATGGTGGCTGGGTGGTTGGATGCAGTGCGGAGCAGTTTGACAGGATCCTCGCGGCTAGGCTTCAACCGCACCATGGCCGAGGCTGGCTCCAGTGGTTGCGGCTGTTGCTGACCCCTTCGTGAGAATAGCTGTAGCATCCTTGGTCTAATGTGGTGGAGGGCTTAGCAGCCCAACGTGGGGGGTAGCGTGCGCATCGCAGACGAGTTCCTATGTCAATTTGGTGCTGCCCCACAGAGGGGGGGGGAAGCCCCAGGAGGGGTCCCAGGCGAGGTCCGCAAAACTCCAGGGGTCCCAGGTCTCAGGCGGAAGCCGCGGCGAATCTGCCACGTGCAAACTCGCCCGCGATAGCAAAGTGAAGCGAGAGTGCGCATTGATTATATTGAACATCGTGGAAAACGCTGCTTGAGACCCTGTTAACGCAAACTACGGCAGGAACGCTTGTGACAGCGTGCCTTGTTCCAGACAAATCAAACATCCTTTCGCGGTATGTTGTAAAAGGGGCCAGCATGTATGAATCTCAATCTCTCTCTCTCTCTCTCTCTCTCTCTGTCTCTCTCTCTGCAGCGTTGAGCGCGTCCACAGGTGAGACCGTAGCCCTTTCAGTTGGACTAACCTGCGGGTAAACATAAAAGTCGGAGGATGCGTATGGTATGGAGAAAGAAGTTCAGGGAGACTACGCACACGATGGGCAATTCTGTACAGGGCTCTTCGCAACCCTTTTCGCGTGAGACGATGGCAGGACTAGGGTCAAGTTTCTGGCCACCGCGGGGTAGCAACATAGTAGGGAGTGTCCTCTTTTATAGTCGTTGACGCAGCTCACCCGACGCACAAGGGGTAGTTCGTGACCACTCGCCAGACATACGCATGGAGCAGACGATAAGTCAGCGACTTTGGAATAGAGGCTGGAAAGGCCTGTGAATGGACGTCATTATCCACCACTTGGGGACACGAAGGGCATGTCAAGCTCTCCAGACCTGAGGAACACGATGACGCAGCAGGAACCCACCAGATCACCAGGATGCAAACTTCAGGGCTTTGATGCCTCTGGAGCTCCAGACGTCCTCCGCGTACTATTGTTGTACTACAAAAGTCCCCTGTCAGTCGACTTTCAAGCCACTGGACGTCCTCGGCGTACTATGTTTGTACGACAAAGATCGTTTTTCCAACCACTGGTCCTCCTGACGTCGTCGGCGTATTGCGTTCGTACTACAAAAATCGATCCCGCCAGCCAGCTCCAAGGAGCCAAAATCAACCAAAACTTCAACGAATTCGGTATAGTCGAAGGCCCTTCAGGCTCTATTTAACGGTTCCATCCGAAGAAGGAAGAGAATCTGTCTACTGTTGCTGGGGCAAGGGGGGCTCAGACCCCCATAGTGGCCTTCGCGGGCTCTCCCTCATCGTTCTCGGATGCCATTGCACACGAATGGCAAAGATGCCTCTGAAATCCCTTGAACGTCGAACCCCTCAAACCCTAGCGACAGCATCCCCAACTTGCGATCAAGAAACCTCTGTAGACGAAGCCTTGAAACCTTGAAACCGGCAACGAACAGGCCACGAACAGCCCGCACAATTGGACTTCCGGGCATCCTCGGTGTGCTTTCGAGCTACCAGTGCTCCGGACGTCCTCGGCGTACGACGTTTGTACTACAAAAGGCAGCTTCGCATTTCGCGAACCCCGACGTTCAAAAGCGAAAAGAGATCCGCGAACCCAGACGTCCAAGAGCGACGACAGCTGCGACGATGGCGACGTCGATGCGCATGGCGCCCAGGCGGGAGCACGAATTTCAAATCCTTTGAGAAATCCGTGTCCGCACTCGCGCTGTGAAAACATGTACGGTTTTTCGTCCAAAATGCGACCACTCTCAAGGAACAACTGACGTCTGCGTATCATCAGGTTAACGGCTAGCACTTTTTACTTTGAACGTAAGAACCTTTAGTGTTGGGGCACTGTTGGGGGGGAAACTCTGCGGCGTACTACCGGACGTGGTACGCCAGCTACATGCATGAGTCTTCTGCCTTCTTGTACCAAGGCTACTAGGTTGTGATTTCTTTGTCAGTTCAAATGAAGCTGCAGTGACCTTTGGAGGCAATGTCTGGACATCGTGGAAGCATTGCGCAGAACAGTCGCTGACACAGTGTGCAGTTCTGAATGCCTCTGTGGCGGTCCCAAGAGACATCCCTTTGGCGCATTGTGTTGAGGTGCCACTTCTTCAGATGATGAAGTGCGCTTGTCGCGAAGAGTTACGGCCACCTCTTCTCTGCAGGCCGCGTTGACAAAAGAACTTGACGACACATGACGAACATGCCGGGACCAGATCAGTATCAGAGGTCCAACGCAGAACCAATGAGGGTGAGCCGGTGAGACGCCGATCCTTCAACAACATCCTGGACAAGGCCATGACGACGTGAGACAGAGCGAAGATACGTGAAGAGCAAAAGCTAAACTTCAAGAAGGAAAGCGACCCTCTGTCTGCAGTTGTTCGACTTCGCAAGTCGCTTGGACGGGGAAGGGGTAAAGAAAGACGTTGCCAGGCTCGCATGCGGAAACCCAAGGAAGAGGTCGAGTCTCCTCTAGCCAAGGCGACGCGCACATGGGTGCGTTTATGTGTTTTTGCTCTGCAGTTGCGCCCCATCTTTGCATGCAGACTCATGAGCTGCGCTGCTCAGCTGCTCAGCTGCTCACCTGCTCAGCTGCTCAGGCAAACACTGCCGTCCGGTTTGCTTGAGCGATCGTGACCGTGAGACCAGCAAAGCACGTTTGAGGGGGGTGCTTGGTGCTTGTGGAGTGCTTGTCAGTGCTTACCATCTTCGTGGAAGGCGCAGGCGCCCCCTGTGACACCCACTTGGTGACCTCGAAGAGGTTCTGCCAGTCAAGAAAGTAAACCCCTGTGTGGGGAAAGATGCGCGCAAGAGAAAAAGTGCAAGCGATGTTGGGACTTGCCGCAATTCCTTCCGCATTCTCCCCCGCCACATGCTGAAAGCACTCAGATGAATTCAACTGGGCGGGGATACTACATGGAGTCGACGACTGCAGTTCATGGGTTGCTTTCTCGGCTATTGCTCAGACGCAGCGTAGAGCCTTGTGACGGCGTGTTTCCGGATGCAGGCGCGGTGTGCTGCACCGAAAGGTTCTCCACTGGAAAACTCGATGCTCAGGCTGTGCGGCACCGAGCGCTTCGTGCAGTGTCCAATGCAGGTCGGCACAATGCACGCACGCGCGCCGCAATCCAGAATTCTCTGGTGTGCTGCCGTTCGCCATGCTTTAGTAACCTTGGCAAGTGTGCCGGCTGACCACAATCTGCTTCTCACCGCTCCACCGCAGGACTTCGGATAGAATACAGACGTCACTTCCCCGACAGGGCCTCATTTGCTCAGAAATGTGCCAGTTGAACGACAGCAATGGAGATTTGACAGGCAATGGTTGCACTGGACAGATGCACGTGCGGCCCTTGACAGATTGCCTTCTTCGACTGAGATGGCTCGCCCGTTGCCTGCTGTTGGGCCCAGGTTCAGATGCATTCCAAGGCCCTGTGCCAAGACCTGACCGCAGATTGTCGATGCCATGCCATGCTAACTGGTGAGTGACATTTCTCGGACAGGCGATCCTTTTCTAGTGAGACGCCCAAGGAGGACAAGGCACCTTGAACCCAAAGAAGCACGCGCATGTGTGTATATATCATATATGCATCCCTTTCTATATATACACAGATGCATCTGCCTGTGTTGAAAGGTAGTTTTTGTTTGAAAACGGTGTGCGACCAATTACCAGGCTACGTGTGAATACAAAGCGCCGACCGTATTTCCATCTAGAGGCTCATTATGTTCTTTTTGTTAAGAACACATGACCTCTATCTGAAGTATTGTTATTAACGAATAGAACTTGAAAAGCTTCCTCTTAATGACATATACAGCCCCCACCCCTCGCCTCTGCCTGTACCCGCAGGCCTCCAGCCTACCCTCGACCTCAGGCTACAAGCCGACCGAGGGCTGTGGGTCGCTTGTAGGTGGCCTACGTGGCAGGGCCGACACGTGGGCGAAGGGGCCAGGTGGGCCGGCTGGGCCATTGGTGGGGACTGGCTGTTCTGGGCTGCTGTCACCAAGCTCGGAAAGCCGCCTCCAGGAACATCGACTGGGGGTCCATCAAGCAAAGGGTGACCATCAGGATCACTCGCAAGCTCCACTACAACGCTAAGCAGGAAGGCAACTACTGCTGTTCGCACGCAAACTTAAGCGTGAGCCTTGGTGAGCCTTGAAGGCAGACGGCATTGCGATCTGAATCACATTCGTGGCCTTCATGGCCTTCGCGGCATTCATGTTCCAAAGCATGCTTAGATTTCGTGTTGCCACAGCGACTTCAGATTCACACCTCCAGGAGGGAACACATGAAAGCAAGCAGACGTTGAAATAAGGTGGCTTCATGGGGGTACCATATATATGAAACGAACCCAGCACAACAACATAAGAGACCCGGCAGAACTGTTCCAGTAGCTGTCCTTCATTGTCTTGGTTGTTCGCCTGAATAGGCAAGCAAGAACATTGTACCACTGTACGCGCCACTTGCAACAGTGACATCACTTTGGCTTGATCCACCCAATCATCAAACCACTTGTCAGGTGCTGCCAAGAAGCCAGTAAGCTGAAAGGTTTAAGCTTATGGTGGCCATTAAACTGTTAAACCATCTATGGAAGTGGGCCACATGACCATTGAACCGCAGAACCGTGAGACCCATCAGTGCTACCGTCCTGCCCCATACAGTCAAGCCGCCTAAGCCAACGAACCTTCAAGCCAATAAGCAGCTATACCCAGTCAGTTCTAACCAACACACGCGGACTTGTTCGGGTTGCGAGACAAAGCCGTATATATAAGATTACATATTGGATTGCTAAAGGAGATGATTATCACATTTCACATGTATATCCGCCGGCCCCCTCTTCGGGGCAGCGTCCTCGCTGGGGTTGAGAGCTACATAGCTTCCAGGTTGTATATAGTATGTAACTTCTTCTCAGCCAACACTCATTGATTTGGTTGAGAAATCTCTCTAGCTGAGAAAAGAGTCTTCACAGGGCTCCAGTGCAAATTTCCCCCCCCCCCCCCCGCATTCCCCCCCCCCTTCCCCCTTTCCCCCCTTCCCCCAGAGCGCTTCTTCGGCTGCAGGCCAAGGATGCCGAAGCTTCCAACGAGAGCACGCCTGCCCAGGCGCGGGCGCGCAGTACATCAGGGCGTCAACACAGTAAGATCACGCGTCACTTACCTTATCACTCTTTTTCTGTTTTTGTTCATTCTTGGCGTGTTTTCGGTACTTATGCAGAAACCAATCGCAGCATGAATTGGCAGCCTGAACTTTCTGCGAGACGTTTGGGCATGCATGATGCATATATGCCAGCTCGTTGCCGAGGCTCATACTTAATACTTGCTAAGCTCACAGCCACAAGATGCACCCTCTGCAAAATTCACCCCACTGCACTATCTTTGCATCTGCCAGCGTGGAGTCCTTATGCTAGTCGGGCGTGTTATAGGCCACGCCGATGGTCACAATGGCAGCACCGCGTTCCATGCGCTTGTCGCCAGCTATAATTAATGGGACTGATCACTTTCCACCAATTGACTTCGCCTACCATTGTGACCACGAAGGCCTCAGGGTGCTTTCGGTTTCTTGCCGTGGGTTTTCTTGATGTCGGGTTGACCCTCGCTCAACGCGTGCTTCACTGACGCTGCGCGTCTTGAGAGTTGTTGTTTCGCATTTCCCGCTCACGCAAGGAAACTGCTGAAGAAGCGGAGGCTCCAGAGACTGTGGAGGTACGCGTGCGGGGGTCGCATGGTAGCATGCGGCATGCGGTAGCAGACGTGCTACCATGGCTCTGCAAACGGCTTGTGAGCAATGCAGCAAGGCCCCGTCCGTGGCGCTGGAGAAGGAGTTGGCAACTCTGCAGGCCGCCTGGACAAAACTTGTGACTCTGCCTTGCCGCACTGGTCCATGCCGAGCGCGAGGAGAAGGTTCGTGCAAGAAAGCACGAGTTGGGGCCTTGTGTTGGCGTGGTGCCACAGTGTCACAGCCCGAGTGTGTTGCATGCCACTTCAGGCTTCTACTGTCATTGGCTGACTTTGAGAACAACAAGAAGCGGTTCTCAAAAGAGCGAGAGGTCGCTGATATTAAGAGTCGCCTTTCCCCAGAATTCATCAGCGTTCTGCAGGACAGGCGGAAAAGCTCAATGGCGAATTTTGCAACTGAGATGATAAAGGCTTGCGGGACAGACCGGACCAGACTGGTTCCCAAGATGACAAACGTGCGAAGCCGCAGGTCTACAGCCAGTTCGATGTCTTCGCCGGTGAGAAGCACACAGGCCGGTGACCCATGGAGCCGAAATTGCACGCGCTTCGCGCGTCTACGAAGTCCGGCTCGCAGCCGCCCGTACAAGAACCAAGTTGGAAGCCAAAACTGCCAAGCTAGATCTTGGCAGCTGTCGTTCTTGTTCACAACCACTACCTCAACTTTCGCCATGCCGGGGAACCATGGGCTCTGCTCTCAAGTAGACTAGACCAGAGAAGCAGCAAGAGCAGCAACAGGGTGGCAGCCGGCTGGTGCACGCATGTTGGCGTTATTGCATAGTTAGGATCTTCAGGGGCAAGTCGCTGTGCCGAAAGACGTGAAGGGAATGGGGTACCTGCCATCAGATGGACGGGGCAATCGAGCAGAAATGAGCGGGAAATGGTTGCAAGGAATCCATTCTTATCTTAAATGGGCCTTGGGATGGCTGGGCAAAACAGGCTGGGAGAGTTCAAGGAGGGCGTAGGGTGCAGAAAAAAGGGGTTTAGGGTCTAGGGCTCAAGGGAGCAGAGGAAGGCCCTTGAGTTTTGAAAGTTTCTGTCCTGTATCTAGACGGGCATAGGGCTTAGTCGGTAGTGGGTGTCTGCTGTGGTGGCGTGTCGGATGGAAGACGTGTTCAGGCCCAGACAAAGTCTTGTACAGTTCTGCAAAAATGTTACTCGTTTAAATGCTGCTACAAAACACAGGGTTGTCGAACCGCACCAAATGCCTTAAACAAACACGTGTGTGTGTGTGTGTGTGTGTGTGTGTGTGTGTGTGCGCATGTCCAGAGACGAGCTCATGCCTGGGCAAAGTTTCTGTTTTGTTTCGCAAGAAGGGTTTGAAGCAAACCAGGAAAAGGTAGGAAACGCCTTGTCTTTTAAAGCTGTCAAAAAGAACTGCTGCTACATTCATGTGTGGAGGTCCACAGGGTCGGTCTTGGCTGTTTTTCCGGCTGCTGCATCTGACGCGCGTCGTGGCCAGAGAGCGACGGGAAGTGAAGCGAAGTTCAGCCTATTCAGGCGCAGTGCAGGCCCTTCATCAGGGTGTTGCGCTGACTCGCGACCTCTACAAGGCCTATGATGCTCAGTGTCTTGGCAGCTGTCGCATGAACGCGGAGCTTTGCGCAGGCCTCCTTTGAACGTTTTGGTGTTCGCAACATCCAGGAGTGCTCCTCATCGGTAGATTCCTGGAAGTTGCGAGAGACAGTCTTGTGACAGGTTGAAATTGGAGAGCCGCCGCTTTGCCAAGTTTAGCCGAACAGCCATCCATCTTTCCACCTAGAGCTGACCCGAGGTTTGTGCCTGCTCGCCACGAAAATGTCGGCACGGTCGAAAGTGCTCCCCTGCTTGGCTTCACTTACGACATGTCGTAGACATGGCCTGGCAAGTTCGGCAGCGGTCCATGCCACAAGCCAGTGTGTTGGGGCTCAGCCCATACCACCCCTATAAAAACTGCATAAGAGTGCGTTGGCTGGGCCATGAATATTCAAAGAGTCACACAGCCAAGCCAGTTTTCGTAGCAAATGCCAAGGCCTGGTCGCCACCAGACTGTCAAGGAACAGCTCGGGTTAAGGAACGCGAGGGCGTCTAGTTATCTAGTCTGGTCTTACATGTTCACCTGAACAGTAACTGTTCGGGGACCAACAGGCCACATAGACATAAAGATCCTATCGCCGGGGATCTGCGCCCACCATCATCCAGGCTTTCCAAGAAGGAGCTATCTCATGTACATGCGAGCATGGGCATCTCTTGTTAGTGTGTCGGGCTCAATTTGGCGGTATCATGACTGCACAGAGGGGATTCCACAGATATCGTGCCTTAATTGCATCACCACGAGGCAGGGGATTCTTGGCGCAAAAAAGTCGTAGGACCTTTATGTGGCAATTACAACACAAGGGAACAAAATTTTGTAGGATCTTTATGTGGGTGCCAAAAACCAAGGGAATGCTGAAGTAAAATGCAAACCCACGTAAGGATCCCACTTATAAAAACTCGGGATTCCGCAGCTGGTTTCTGCGGCTCTGGTGCCCTAAGATACGACCACTCCGTAAAACTTTAGACTCTCTAGACTGCTGCTCCCTTTCCTGCATTCCATGTCCTGGATACCTGCAAGATCTTTATGTGGAAATGTCTTTACCTGTCCAATTTCTTCATAGCCAAGCGACGAAGTGGTGGTAGTTGCGCATCGGGTGGCCAGGTAGAAGCAGCTCGATACCTCCGTTCCAGGTACGAAGTTGCCGATGAACGCCGTAGGTGAGATCGTCCGGCCAGGTGCGCTTCAGTGGCCGCTGCGAGCTTGTGATTTTGTGGCATGCAAACCCACGCTCACACCCGAGGCTGGATCTTGGAGCCGGATAGCCCAAAGCCGGTTGTTCTTCAGAAGGTCGAGCCGAAGCAGCACGGATTTTGTTGGGAGTACTGATCTTGACGGTTTGGTTTTGACATGTTTTGACTCTTCGACTCTTCGACTTCAACTTGCAGCTTTGACTTAAGAGAAGCAGCAAGGGTGAAGGGACCTACGGGGATCTGCCCTGACAGCTTACTGGCATGTGGTTGCGCCTCGCCAAGGAGGTACATGTTTCCACACAAGGGCCGAAGGCCAGAGCTTTGTTGGTTTTGGAAGTTGGCTTCAGACTCCTGAGATGCGGTGCTTCTGATCTAGCAAAGTCTTTTCTGAAGAGGTGCCGGCTTCATGATCTCGTGTCTGGGCCTTTTGAAATTGACTCTTGCTTGGAGTTTTGCGTGGCTTCTTGCAGTGCCTTTGCCCTGCTTGGCATTGGAGGCAGATTGCAGCTGCAGCTTTCCATAGTGATGGCGAATGCCAGAGGACGGGCCGATTCTACTTGCCAAACGCGCCTATACTCTTGGACCCATAAGGCTTCCTTAACCTTGGAGTTGCTGCCCGTCTAGGTCAAAGCTCCAAAGTAGGCATGCCATGCGGATTGTCAGTACTCAGAGGCCAGTGACCCAGGCACAGTGAACTTCCTTGCGCGAAGGGAGACGCATGGTGGACGCAAACTAGTGCGCGTATGAAGGGCGATCATGGGAGAGCACACACCCGGCCCATGCGACACCCATCCGCCCCGCGTGCTCATGAAAGGAGAACATTGAACCCGCAGCCGCACGATACCCATCCTGCCTGCGCACTCATGACGGAGACCGCATGGTCAACCACGCCCCCCGCATCACGTGCATCCAGGGGCCTTGTGCGCTCATGAAGGGAGACAGACAAACACACCCGAACTGCGTGACACCCGTCCGTGTTTCTGAAGCCATGGCAAAGTACGAGCCCGAGCCGCATGACACCTATCCGGCCCTGCGTCATGGTGAGGTCGGCAGGAGACCATTAAAAAAAACAAGGTCGGAGCCTATGGGAGACCACGGACCAAACCTCGTGACACCTATCCGGCCAAACGCGTTACGCTTTTTCTTCTTTGAAAGGAGCCCGATCAATTCCTGTCTTCGGAAAACCACTTGCCCCTCCCACTTGTCACTTGTCCCAGTTCCCCCCACTTGCCCCGCTCACAGAGGACGCAGCCGGTAATTCCCTCCTTTCCTCCTTCCCTCAGTCGCTTGGGAACAGGCATGGCCACGAGACAGCCCCGCGGTGATGTCTGGCCCCTATTTGGTGAAGACGATTACTTTCAAGACTCCACAGTGGATGCAGCAACTCCGCATCCATGTAAGTAGAATAGTAAGAGTTGGGGAGATTTGGAGGTTTAGAAGGTTCTTGAACTGAGCAATATTCAATCTGCTTTGGTGGTTTTGAGAATGCTCACCTTGTTGTTCCGACTGTCTGCTGTGGCTACTGGCTGTTACTTCTTTTACATGAGCTTGCCAAAGTGTGGATGCGCGGCAATCTTCCAGACGACCGCTACATCAAGCTTTCGGAATGGGCAAAGGAACGAACAGACACACTTAAGATGACTAGTTGCATCTTGAAGCAACGGAGCCGGTACAAGTGGAGCCCATCTGCCGGCACACGTTGTGACCCTTCGAATAGCTTGGAAATTTGTTGCGTGCTGAGGTGCCACACTCATCCAACGCAAGTCTTCTGAGGGCGCGCTCCTGCAGAGGGTTCAACCGTCAACCAATCCTGAGACAGGGTCACATGCGCAGTGAACATAAATGCTCGCATGCTTGCAGCAGTGCCACTCGGCCTACATTAACGAGCTTTGCACTGCGAAGGTTGAATAGGTACACCGGAAGCAGCAGAGCGGCGTATCGTCCATGGTTTCGTACGGGTGGAATGACATTGAAGTAGACAGATCGTGCAGAGCTCCGCAGATTGAGCTCGTGTCCAGGCAACGCTGCTAGGAACGCTGGCGGCTTGGCCCAGAAAAAGTGCTCTGATGAATTCTGCTCTTTGCAAAGTCCCGATGAGCCTCTGCCTCGTGACGCCTTCCGGCTGTGCAGATACCTTCAAGCTTTGCCTGTGTGGTCATAGACTCCGTCATCGACAGTACTGGTACAGCATGCAACGCTGTCATGCCCAGGCGGCCCCCTCGCATCCTTCATGCCCCAGCAGTGACTCGACCCCTCTGAGCCTCGTGCGCACCTAATGGCATCCCAATCCAGATCTGCCAGCTGCAGAGCTGTTGAAAGGCTCGATTTGCATCAGATGCGCTGCCCTTCGATAGATCAATACGATATTCAGACAAGAGCATGAACCAAGATCAGAGCTCGGCGAAGATGTTCAGATTCTTGATGGTTTGTGAGACCCCTACAGATGTCTCATTGCTCTGCAGATGCCTCATATCAGTCAGCTGACATGGCGATCTGAAAGTGACCCCCCGATGCATCGCAAGTCAAGGTCGGCACTGCAGGCAGAAGTTCTTCGTGGAATTTCTGAAATTCGTTCACAGCTCTCTCAGGAGGCTGGAAGGATGCAGCGCCGTTTGTAGTGTAGGGTCGTGGGTCGTCTTCTGCTCTCGTAGCTGCTCTTGCTGCTAAAGGCCCGTCGATAAGGTAGACTAGAATGCTGTATTCGCTGGTTTGACGTGCAATGGTTAGGCCAGCGGAAAGCTCAATCCCTTGCGTGCATTGCCGCGAGCCTTTAGAATATTCCGGGTTCTGGCCCATCGGCGCATATCGGCGCTGCCACATCCGGCCCAACTCCCAGCCGCGGTGGGGGTGACGTGCACGAGTCCTCGCAAGTACTTGTTGGTAGAGGGTGATTGACACGGCACAGGAGCCGCCATTGGTGGGCACCCTCCAAAGCCAATGTCCCTTGTGTGACAGCACGGCGACTAGCTTACACACCGGAATGTTCAATCAGCGAAGTTAGGACCTCTGGTGCACTTGGCGCAATATATGTATGTACGCGTTTACGTAATGCTCGCCATAGATTCGGGCTTGGCCGTGCTGCATGACATGTTCGTGATTTTGACTTGGGGTACTGTTTCAGGTCAAGATTTCGGCAGCAACTCATGTTGTCTTGCGGAGGTGGACGGAACTTCCATCCGTACCATGTGTGCGGAGGTAGCCGATTCTGCAAGATGGAGGCTTCAAGACCCAAGATATCATCCGATTGTTGGTCAGGCAGAGTTGGAGTTCTACCACTCCCGCCAGGCATATGTCTTTGTACATGCCTCTGTGTCTTTTGTCATTGAACAGTATTTTCCGGCAGGTAAGACCTCTTCGGACTCCTACGGAAGTAGGCAACCCCAAGCTGTTCATCTTGAAAAAATCCTTGCACGCCTGAGCTTGCTTATGGCTTCCCGAAGGCATGCTGGCACAGGGCATCCTTTCAGGACGACTTGACCAACCAGTATTACCCAGCCTCAGCATGCAAGGCACGTGCCCAGAGCTTTCTTGTTCGCAGTTGCCTGCAGATCCTTCGAACAACGTATGTGTACTCGTTTTTGCCATGAGAACTTTCGTACATACTGATACAAGCGACATGTTCGGACAAAGGCGAGAAGGTACTGCAAGACGCATGACCGAATCGATCCTGGGTCCCACATACATGCATATGCAATTGTATGTTCGTATATTCGTATATTTGTATATTTATATATTTGTATATTTATATATTTGCAAATTTGTATGTTTGTATATATGTATATTGGTATATTTGTATATTTGTATATTTGTATATTTGTATATTTGTATACTTGTGTATTTGAAAATTTGTATCTTTGTATATTTGCATATTTCTGTGTTTGTGTATTGTGAAGTCGACCAGCACTGGACTTGCACTAAGCCAATGCAATCACAGCCCGGTCACGCTGTTTTACGACTTCGTGAGTCCAAGCACTTGTGCAGCTACGCCTGAGTGCGTCCGGTCGGACCGCACAGCAACCTAGGAGCTACTGTACGACTCTACCGTGCTCAAAGGCACAAGCTCGGTACTTGAGCCAAAATATTGGCATTGTTACGAATTGCAAAACTACACATGCAAGGGAAAACTACAAGCTGCACTAGCACTAAGCAAGCACTCCATGCATGCTTTGACCTGCTCACATTCGCCCCTCAGCCGAGGCTTCCGGCTCACCAAGAGCTCATAGTGCGTCAAGCACTTCAGCAACGCGGCAAATGGGGTAGGGTGAGGGTGTCGCGTGCGACTCTGGTAGAGCCCGCACATCATGAGCATTGGCATGCGGCTTGGGCGGCAGCCCGCACTACCGGACGGACGCACGACGACAGCAACCCTCCACGACCCTAAACCACCCCAAGTCGCGAGCTCTCACCTTTGTGCAGACAGGCGAGGCTCCAGAGTACTGGGCAGGTCTTTGTGCTGCTAGTGCAAGCTATGGTACAAATGGTACACTGTACACTACCGGTCCTAAGCTACGGCTACGGCTACTCACCTATCCGGAACTACCCTACGGGCTACCAGACTCAGCGAGAGCCGCGCACATGGCTTGTGCCGCAGGCAATGCAGCTCACACGCGCTTCGGCGAGCGCATTGCCGCGACCAGGACACGGTCCGCAGCACCTGCAAAAGAGCACCCTCAGCACGAGGGGCCACAGGCAGGGCGGAGGAGAAAGGTGCGGGGAATGCAAAATGGGCAGGTTTCCAACCTGCCGCGGCTTTTCGCCCGCAGTCAAGCAAAAGAAAATGCAAAAGGTTGGCGAAGCAACGTGCCGTGCTGCAACGCCTGCTCTGATAATGCGTGGATGCATACCACGCCGCGCCGACTGGCCGCAGCCTACTCGATACCCTGTGGAGCAGTGTTGGGGGCACGAGTGGCGTTGCCAGCAACGTTGGAGCTACTGGCTCGCTCCAACTGAGGGCGCCTTGCGACCGCCTCATCGAGGGAGAATGCCTCAGCCGACACCCTCTGGAAATCCTCGATGTAGGACTGCGCGACCGGGTGCGTCTTGGCGACCTCAAGCCTAAGCCCTGCCTCCGCATTGGCTTTGCTGCTTGTGGTAAAATTGAGGCTCCCAATCAGCACCACCGCGCCATCAGGCCGCAGTAGGCAAAGGGCCTTGGCATGGTGAAGCCCTTGGATACCGGTACCTACTTTAGCCCCGCGGCCGTCGCGAGCATAGGCGTCGCGCACGGATGAGCCGCAACCCACCTTCACCTCGGCGCCTGCAGCCGCCAAGCGTTTCAACGCTTGCCACTGCAGTTTGGTGCGGTGGCATTGTCCCATGTCGGCGACAATCCGAACGCCTGCGCCCTTGCTAAGCGACGCTTCGATTGCCTCGATGCAGGATGGGCAATCTAAGCTGTACGCCCGGATGT